GGTTCAAGCGATTCTCCTGCCTCAGCCTCTTGAGTAGCTGGGAATACAGGCACGTGCCACCATGCCCAACTATTTTTTGTATTTTTAGTAGAGACGGGGTTTCACCATGTTGGCCAGGATGGTCTTAATCTCCTGACCTCATGATCCACCCGCCTCAGCCTCCCAAAGTGCTGGGATTACAGGCATGAGCCACCGCTCCTGGCCTTTTTTGTTTTTAAACAGGATCTTGCTCTGTCGGCCAGGCTACAGTGCAGTGATGCAACCCTGGCTTAGTGCAGCCTTGACCTCCTGGGCTAAAGCAATCCTCCCACCTCAGCCTCTGGAGTAGCTGGGACGACAACAGGCACAAGCCACCACATCTGGCTAAAATTTTTAAATTTTTTATAGAGACAAGGTCTCACTATGTTACCTAGGCTGGTCTCAAACTGGGCTCAAGTGATTGTCCTGTCTCAGCCTCTGAAAATGCTGGGATTATAGGCGTGAGCAACCATGCCTGCCATATCTCTATCATTTTAAAAATAAAACTGGGGCCGGGCGCAGTGGCTCACGCCTGTAATCCCAGCACTTTGGGAGGCCGAGGTGGGCGGATTATGAGGTCAGGAGTTTGAGGCCAGCCTGACCAACATGGTGAGACCCCATCTCTACTAAAAATACAAATTAGCCGGGCATGGTGGCGCACGCCTGTAGTCCCAGCTACTCGGGAGATTGGGGCAGGAGAATCACTTGAACCTGGGAGGCGGAGGTTGCAGTGAGGTAAGATCATGCCACTGCATTCCAGCCTGGGTGACAGAGCAAGCCTCCGTCTGAAAAAGTGCTGGGATTATAGGCATGAACCACCGTGCCCGGCCTCAACACTTTTAATGTTCCTTTAGAGCAAGGTTGTCCAATCCGCAGCCTAGGAAGGCTTTGAATGCAGCCCAACACAAATTCCTAAACTTTCTTAAAACATTTTGAGATTTTTTGCATATTTTTAATTAACTTATTTATTAATTTATTTTTAGCTCATCAGCTATTGTCAGTGTCAGTGTACTTTATGTGTGGCCCAAGATAATTCTTCTTCCAATGTGGCCCAGGGAAGCCAAAAGATTGGACACCCCTGCTTTGAAGAGACACTATGTAGTGACAGAGTCACTTTCTGCCCAGCTTTACTCTCCCACTCCCCCTGCCCCTCCCCCTGCCCCAATGCCAGGGAAGGGGAAGAGGATGACCTGTGGGACTAATGAGTCAAGTCACTTCCCTCTGCCTTAACAGGGATTGCAAGTGGAAGCTAACTTCTGATGCCGTAATTATAAAATGCACCAGCCTTAATAGGCAGGAGTTTTGCAATTCTCATCTTCATCCGTGTATTTTAAACTTATAAAGACAGAAATCAACAGGTCAAAATGTAGATAACATATCCAGTCAATTCACAACTCACCTGGACCCAGGGTCCTCCTGTTTCCTCATTACGGTGTGTTTCCCTCCCTCATTCCGTACATAGCTCTCATTCTCACCTTCTTTCTCTAGCTCTTTCCTTCCCCTTTATTTTCTCCCTAGGATTCTGCCCATTTTGAGCCCCTCTCCTCTCCTGCTGTTTCTCCCCCTTCTTCCCTCTATTTCTTCTCTTCCACCTGTTCTTTCCAGTCTTGCAATTTGTTTCACCTCATACTCCTCTTTCTTCCTAATCTTTTCATCGTCCCAATCTCCACATATTTCTGGCTCTTTGCTCCCCATTTCAGCACCCCCTGTTAAATTCCCTCTTCCCTGTTACAAACCCTTGTCCCCACTCTTTGGCACCCCCAGATCCCAGGCCTCCCCATGCTGTGGTTCTCTCTCTGCTCTCCTTGTCTTCGGCTGCCCCTTCTTTTTGTCCCAGCACCACACTGCTCTGTCTGCCCTGGCTCCAAATCCCTCCTCCTCTCTCCCACTCTCTATGTGAGGAGCCTCCCCCTTTGCTGCCACCCGCCCTACCTTGCTGTCCTTCATCTCTCTGGATACTGTGCGTTTTCTCGAAATGTGTCTAGTTACTTTTCTCTCCTTGCAACTTTCTTGGCTGCTTCTTTCACTCTTACTGTCTCTTTGAAAATCTCTAACCATCCTCTACTTTGCCATCTGTTTATTGGTTTCCCTCATTCTTTCCCCTGTCTCAGGTTTCCTATTGCTCTCTCTGTCCCTCTCCCGATCCCTTTGGCCCACACATTCACAAGAGGGTTTGGGGTAAGATGCCTGCAACCTGGAGGAGAGCATTTTCCAGGGAGTGGAGGGGGGCAGGTAAGAACACCGGGTGTCACAGGACAGGCCCTGAGCACCTCCCCAACGCGGGCTCAGGGGAGGCCTGGGGAGCAGCAGGGCAGGGCACGAGGAGGAGGGAGGTGGGGGGCGCAGGCACCTTCGGACAGGGGTGGGGTCTGCAGGATCCCAGGACCAGGCAGAGCACGCGGGCTCTGGGGCGCTGCGCTCCAGGGGCCGACGAGGGCGAGGCTGGGATGCGCCCAGGACGGGAATCCACCTCTTGGGTGAGGACTTTAAAAAGCCCGGGGTTGGAGGAGGGGTCAGGAAAAGGTTTAGGGCCGGGGACAGGGTGCAGCCTCAGAGCGACTTCAACCCAAAGGGAAGCGATTCCGGACCCACACCGTGAGGCCTGTATTCACCTGGGATGGAGGGCGCGGTGCGGGGATTTTAAAGCCCGTAGCGACCCCGGGCATCGGCTGTGGAAATGGGAAACAGGGAGCGCAGGTTTAATCTACACAGAGGGCCACTCACGCTCAGCGCCGTCACCTTCACCCAACACGATCCGTTTCCGGGACTGTAGGAAACTGCGCATGTGCGGAGAGAAGAGCCCAGGCAGCCTGGAGGCGTGGCGTGGTTGCAGTGGGCGGGGCCTGCGCCGTTTTAAGGTTAAGAAGCAGAGTTGTGTGGGCCACTTATGTTGGAAACCAAAATATTTTCCATTTACCAAGTTGAAAACGGTTTATGGTAAAAACATTTTGCCTGCAGGTTGGACCCAATCCTGCTACGGAGTCTCCTGCAGCTTAGCAGTCCGGGAACTGGGATTTCAGTGGGGGATCCACAACTAGCAGTGGCTGGATCCATAAACGTTATTGAAAAACAAAAATAAAGTGTCTGGAATAACTCCACTGGATTTCAAGACTACCAATATAGCAAAGATAATAAAAATTGTGTGGTATTGGGGCAATAAAAGACATGGATTGATGCAATACAATAAGTGAGTGCAAAAATAGCCTCCACAGGTACTTCCAACTGATTTTTCACAAAGTTACCGAGGGAATTGAAGGAAGGAAGAATTTTTTAAAACTGGTGAGGAGCTAACTTAATATCCATAGCAGAAAAGAAGTCATCTTTACTCAAACTTCACAAGCGTACAGACATTAGCTCAACATTGACCATAGCCTAAATGTAAAATATCAAACCATAAAATGGTATCCTGTAAGAGACTGAAAGAAAAAAATATTCGCAGAATAAAATCGTAAGAATCAAGAGCTTGTTCAAAAATTCTTAGCCATGGCAGCAAAAGCATGATTCATTAAAGAAAAAAAATCAACTGGTATTTACCAAATTAAAAACTTAAGACAAGGAAAGAAAAGGTATTTGATATGGTTTGGATCGATGTCCGCATCAAATCTCATCTTCAAGTATAATCCTCAGTTGTTGAGGGAGGGACCTGGTGGGAGGTGACTGGATCATGGAGGTGGCTTTCCCATGCCGTTCTCATAATAGCAAGTTCTCAGATCTCATGGTTTAAAAATCTGTGATAGTTCCTCCTTTGATCGCTCTCTCTCCTGCTGCATGCAAGGCGTGCCTTGCTTCCCCTTTGCCTTCCTCCATCGTTGTAAGTTTCCTGAGGCCTCCCTAGCCAAGTGGAACTGTGAGTTAATTAAACCTCTTTTGTTTATAAATCACCCAGTCTCTGACTGTATCTTTATGGCAGTGTGAAAATGGACTAATACAGTACTGAATAA